AATTTGGTATTCGTAGGGCTCCACGAGTCAGCACTGAGACTGGCTATACTAATTTTAGTTGCTTTGTCTCACTATATTTCTACTCCAAATGACTTGGTTTGCTAAAGCCTAAAGTAGAAGGGTAAGTATTCAAAATTCATCTGGTACCACACAGGGAGCCAGTCTGCCCACCAAGGCCGTGGCAGGAGGGGACTGAGACTTGGCCAAGCATGAACTCCATAAGCCCTTTTATTAACATGTATGCTAAATGCTGTAGAAACCAAATACATTTATTAAGTGTACTCTCAGCCAAGCAGTAAGATAAAAGATACCTAACTACAGAGTTCATAACCTGTATCACTTAACCAGGGGAACACTAGATAAAAGTAACTTTAGTTTGAGTAAATCTTTTCATTTCAGTGGAGTAATGTGTCCTCTGGCTGGCAGACCCCAGAATGGAGAACTGTGGAAGATGCTAATGCCACCCAGAATGTCCTGTTCAACATGTGGGCAAAATATGTAGCCTGCTGTGTGGGAAGCAGCAGCTCATTCTATTGCTTCAGCAGCCTCCTCACCACCACTATCTGAAAGCTCTTCTTCACCTGACTCCTCTAGTAAACTGCTTCTTGTGACAGACTTGTGGATGGCTTCCCGCTCTGCTGGAGAAAGGGAAACAGCAGAGATGTAAGATGTCTTTGGGAGTGATCTCTTTTTCAGCTTAAGGTCAGTCATTGCCCAGTGGGCACTAGGCCAGTGTTGCTTACCTTTATCAGTGCAGTTCTGTAGTAAGATCAACAGTTGTCTCCTGTTGTACTGGATTAGGAACTTCTGACATGTTCTAATTGTACCTGTCACATAAGAGTTTTTGTGGTCAAAAGCTTATGGAGGTTCTCTACTTTGCACTTTCAGAGCTAGAGGAAAGTATCCTGTTCTCGGGATAGCAGTAAGACCCATCTACCACTCAGGATTGAACTTAGCACCTACTGAAAATCAGCCATACCATGTGCCATCCCTACCTCCAACATGTAATGTGTTGAAAAAACAAGAGTAACGGTATCCTTTGTTCTCCAAGTACGTGATAAAGGGAAGAGCTGACCACACAAGCTGGTAGAATTCCTTTCTGCATCGAAGTAGCACTATTCCCGTATAAGCATTGAGGTATCGAACTACAGCAGGGGAAAAAAAAATCATTTTGGAAAACTCTTGAATGCACAGGAAAAGGTTAAAAATCTTGTTAGGCCAGGCACAGTGGTTCATGCCTGTAATACTAACACTCTGCAAGGCCAAAGCAGGTGGATTGCCTGAGATTAGGAGTTCGAGAACACCCTGAGGAAAAGCAAAAGACCACATATCCACTAAAAACAGAAAAACTAGCCAGGCATTGTGGCAGGTGCCTGTAGTCCCAGCCACTAGAGAAGGTGAGGCAAGGGGATCACCTGAGCCCAAGAGTTTGAGGTGGTTATGAGCTGTGACAGCACAGCACTCTACCAAGGGCAACACAATAAAACTGTCTACAAACAGAAACCTTAATGGAGAGCCTATTACATACCATAGAATGCTCCAGGTAAATGGCACTTGGGAAGTAACAGTAAGCAGAAACAAAGATCCCTGAAGAAAAATCACATTAGGACAGACTTTCATTTATACAAGGGGATAACCACCCAGTGCCTTGCACACCACTCTGTATTGGTGAATCAATTTAGAATTTAACATCTTCTAATTTCACTAGTTAGTTAAATAAATGAGGGCAGTGATAAGATCCATCTTTATCCAAAAGTAACAAACTGCTTGAAGACCAGCTCGTACTGCAATTGGGCTTGATAGGTTCTTGTAGCAATAAGCTGAGTCTCACCTGACTCAGAAGTTATGTGCATTTAACTCTGGAGCTTATGGTAAAAGAAGGAACTAATTTTTTTTTTT